AAAAAATGTGTTCTCGGCCAATGTTCTACAGCTCTTAAACTCCAATCACAGAAATAATCCAGCTTGGTAGTTTATCCAGGTGTCAGTTTAAATAGGACAAATTTTGAATAACTGTGAAGGAAAGGGATAAAAATACACTGAGGATTAGAGCCATGCATTTCAATATGGAAAGGAGACCAGATATAGGTAATAATCTCCTTACGTTCCTAATGGAGAGAAGATCATAAGAGAAATAAGACGTCTATAGTGTTTGCATTATGAGTATGGGAAAGCTTACATGATGTGAAATTTCTCATGCAAACATTTTACACGCATACTTATGTACTCACACCCTTACAGTAAAGGCAGTTAATTACTCCTCTTCTTCTTAAGTAGAATATTATTTCTGGAAAATTGTCAATTGGGGAACATATCTCAGTACTAAATATCTTCCTCAGTTATACTTTGTGGGACAAGGATGAAAGAGATGCCTCGACAAAATCTTTCAGATGTCAACATAATTGGATCAGGCTACAAATGCAACACATCAGGGACTATGGTGGTTAACTTAGCATTTAAATAAAGATGAACTTACTTACAGACGCAACTCATCTGGGGGCATAATTGCAGACAGTGGAAAAGGTCACTCGGAAGCTAGATTGGTCTTCTATGTCCATAGAAATGGATTTCAAGGTAAAAATTACTTGTCAGTATCAGCATTGATCACGAACGTCATTTATCACAACTCTAGTTCAACAACTTTTTGGAGAACTATGTCCTCTTTATGTGAAAACATATTCTTCTAAATTTTTGCAATCGTAAATATGAGGATTATTTTAAATCATTCTAGTTTATAAACAAACAAAAAACCTGAAGAACAAAATTTTTTTAAATTGTGAACTTTTCCCTAGGAGTTCTTTTTGAATCTAGTCCTACTTTCTATCTATAGTATCAGTGGGTTTGGCCTCCTTGGGCTGAATCAGCACAGTTCCTTACTGGGAATTGATTAGTGTCCCTTGATGTGTCTTTCTGGAAGACAGATTATGTCTTTTGGCTGTTTGATTATAACAATTAGACATTAAACTTGCCATTCTTATCCTAGTAGAAAATATATTTCATTTCTTCTTTCTCATATTTTGTAATTTCTACTTGAGAATACTTGAGAATTGTAGAGGATTTCATTTAATACTGTCCACATTCACAGTTGGTTTATTTGACCAACATTTCATGGTTGTTTGAAACAGAAGGACTAGCTGCACAGGAATATTTTCCAAAGCAATAGAAAGAGGAAATATTGAGATTGAAGATGCTTTTAAGAAAAGATAAAATTCGAGAGGCATTTGCCCCCCAAGGGATTGCATACCTTCTATTTCCAAAGTATTCCTGAGGACATTTGTTTTTTCAAACTCTGACAATTGAGGCTTTTTAAAGTAAAATTACTAACAATATTATGAAATACAGCTGGAAGAAAAAACAATACCAATGATTTCCTTTTTAAAAAATCAGATATCTTGGAAAAATTAAGATTGCCATCTTATTTTCAAGGGATAAAATATTTTGTGACTAACCAGCATAACTTTAATGTATTTTTAAGTTCAAAAGAAGCATAAGATTATGGAACCCCAGAATTATAATACATTATCATAGGATACATTGCCCCCTAACTCAATCCTTACTAGATAACCAATAATATTTAATTTTTAAAAAACCAATGTTCCTTATAATTATCAATATTAGTGATTCATATTCCACTGTTAAAAATCTCTTTCATCAAGGTAATATAAATCCTACACACTAAAGGCTTAGTTTTTCTTATTCCAGTCTAAATAGTGATATCTATAGCTGGTATCTCTTGTTAAATTTCCTTTCTTTGGAGGTCACTATTGTACCTCCTCTTCCTTAGGCTAAATAAAAGTATTATCTTTCTAAATGGGTCTTTTCTTAATTATTTAATAGCTTTCTGTTTTCTCAAAGTTCTGCAAATTCTTCTTCCTGAAGCAGAATTGGATGTAAGAAAGGGATCTGATGAGTCAGAAGTTGATTGGGAAGAATTATCCAAGGGTCTTGTATACCCCTGTGCACTCAGGCTAAAGGAAATTTATTGCTCCCTTAAATTTAATTTAATTTTTTGCTAAGAGGAATCCTCAGTTAGGAAAGCATTTCTGCATAAGGACTTCTTTTTAGGATGGTAATTGTGTTTACTTTTAAAAACCTACCTAATTACTTTGCTAACCACTCTTGCTGGTTAGCTTTAATCTTTGACCACTCTGTTCCCAATAATTAGCCATATTCTTATTGTATTTCTGTGTTTGGTTTTTATTCTACAAGTCTATCTACAATTAGTCTTACTGAGGTTCACTCTTTTTGATTTTCACTGATACTTCAATTTTTCATTTCCTTTTGATTCCTGATTTTTTTTTACAGGTACTAATTTTAACACATTCTACACATATTTATTCTTTTAAATGCATCTAAATAAACACAGATATGGCTCAGTTTAAAGTGTACTAAATGATAACACAGTGTAAGTACATGGAATTCTCACCTACTGCTTAGGGATTATTAGCTAATTTTGTGCTGAAAATTAGACATTTATTTCCAAGTCTCTATATCTTCTTGGCAAAATTTTGCTAAAATTAACATGTTTATAGAATTCATATTTCAAAACAACCATTTCCCACTCTATTAAGATAAAGAACTGAGTTAAAACCAGCATATAATAGACTTTGTATGGGAAGAAATAAATGTTTCATCTACAACGTGGCTTTTCACCGGGTCATAAATACAAAGTCAGGGAGCATGAAAGCAATACTACACTGTAAGTAGGCACACAGATGGTACTGTGTGACAGTATTGTGTGTGGTTACACACAGACATACTTACTGCTCAGTTCCCTGTACCACCAACAATATTGAGATGCAGCATAGGTACTTTTTCTGAGGTACTTTTAAAAAAGGCATATTTTCCCTCAGGCACAAACAGTTTTTCTTAAAAGTCAACTTAGCAGCTATGCCACTTCTCAGGTCTGAAAACATGATGCTTGAAGAACAAATAAAAAGATAAAAAAGAAAAAGCAGGAATGGGGAAGTATGGGGAATGGGGTAGTTTCTTTCAATTGAACTCCAACAAAACCCACACTGTCTCACTCATACTGGTACCAGGCAGATAAAACACCAATAAAATGAAGCGAGTGTTTAGCAACAACAAGGCGATGCAGGTAGGGAAAGAGCAGAACGTTAGGGTGCCATGATCTGGACTTTGTGAAGATTTGCTTTGTTTCTTGTTTTCTATACTTTAACCTGAATCTCTATTTTGGTGAAGATTTCCAGTTACTCCAAGTTGCATAATGAATGACGCTGTTGAAAAAATGCAACAGCATTTGCTGTTGAAAAAATGCAACAGCATTTTGTTGAAAAAAGAGCACTCATAGAAGGAAATCAAAACCTCTTGGTTGCTTTGGTAATAGTGTGACCACTACTTAATAGGTACACGATTGACGAAAGCTCCTGCACTGTGCTTTTGTTTTACCGACTGGCTGCCATCTTTGATGGACCATCCATTAATGTACCACCCACTCCCACTCAGTAAGCCAAGATCTCCACTACCAGATCTTCACTGTTAGAGCCCGGCATTGTTCACTACCTTTTGTGTTAACAGTGAGGATTGTTTTTGTTTTGAAGAGAAGTTACAGATATAGTTACACGAAAAGGTCAAACTGTTAATGGTCTTAAATAAGTTAAGGCTACCTGACTAGACAAGGAATCAGGGCTAGGAGCAATTGTGTGGGCAGCACTTGATAGTTAAGGAGCCCAGGAGTGTTAGACCTTTCAGCTCGATTAGCTGTTTTCCTTGTTTGTCAGATTATGTGCAAAAGAAATTTTGCTATGAAAATCCACTGCCTTAAATCAAGTCATAAAAGTTACCCAGCAGAATCTGAAAACAAACTAAGAACATGGACTATCTCAATATAATATAATGATTGTAGGCACCTGAGTGTTTGTCAAAAGTAGACAATGAGCTAAGGTTTATTATTGTTTTTTGGCAAGGACGATTCACTATAAAAAAAAAAAAAACCCAACAACAATGAAACGTACAATCCTACTCAAAATCTGAACACTTTCTGGGTCAACTAATTAACCAAATGCTAACTTACATCTATGTATATATTTTCCCATTTGATACCTTTTTGCAGGAAAAACTCCTAGTAGGACCCTGAATTTGGGAAAGTAAAAAAAAAAAATCTGGTCATTTAATAAACACAGCATTTTGTTTCCCTTCACGTTATTTAGTTTTCTTAACATTATCAAACACACATACACACACACACAAATGGGCAGCACCAGTGCATCTACTTGTCTGTAATTTTAAAAAATTAAAGATGCTGTCAAGAGTTGAATAAGTCAATGAATCATAGCATAGTCTTTCTTAGACTTACTTAATGATGGCAAGTGAAGAATTCTGGTTAAAAAAAAAAAGAAAGAAAAAACAACCAGCAGTTAATGAGCTACTGATCAGAAAATAAGTGCATAAACAGTATCATTGTAGCAGCAAAATACAGTTATTGTTAACATTCTGATGCACCTCATTTATTATTTTGTGCAAGAAACATGACCACAGTCTGGCCAATTCCAGATTTCGAACTAAATTAAAACTCATACTTAACTGAGCAAATTATTTATACTTAACAATAAAGGAATTAAATTCACCTCTCACAGAAATTATTTTTATAGACATAAATCATGTGGTAAATAAAATACAAAATAAATATCAATGACAAAAAGTATCGGAATCAACTCCTATAGCTGAATTTGAAGTATAAGGAAAGATGATTTTACAATATATGTATTTTACATTGTCTTAGGTCTTTCTTACGCTATCGAGGTAAAGCCAGCCATCTGAGATACATAGTTCCGGTTTCCTTTTATTTTTTGTTTTTATTGAACTCAACCATAGCCATTTGATTGCAGAATTTATCTGTGACTTAGAGAAACCATAAAATGTTTCATCACACTTGAGTCTGTGCTTTGTGTTATTCTTCTTAACTTTCTCTCATCTTCCAAAATGATGAACATGAATCCAATCCTGTATCTCACAACCGAGAAGAAAACACCCGCCGGGTCTTGGGCAGTATCCTGTGTGTGGCTACAAAGCATTCACCTTAGATATCCGTCCGCGGGAGATGAAGACTAGGGGTAAGGAGGCTTGGAGAGACAGTGGAGAGGGGCGCAGTGTGGGCTGGAATGTGGCTGCTCATCAGGGAGAGCTAGGTCAGGACTGAAAATGAGAAACAAGCGTGTCAGCAAGAAACGCATTTACAGGAGGCCAGGCATACTCTTAAGAGTTACAGAGACACAATCTTTTCATAGAAATTTTAAAAACATAAACACAAATTTTGCACAGAAAATAGTTTAAAGCATGCCAAGACGACTGCAGCTTTTCAAAAACAATGCCAAAAAAACCAAGAACAAACAAAAAACCTTAGGGAAATGACACGTAAACCCTTCCCCTAAGGTCGCTCTATTCAATTTCTGCACACAGTCTCATTTCCTCTAGGTCTCTGTGTTGCAAGATTTCTTCAAATCAGTTTTCAAAACTTCAATATGCACACCATCTACTTGGATCTCGGTAAAATGCAGCTTCTGATTGATAGGTCTGGGATGGGACAGGAGAATCTTCATTTCCAACAAGATCGAGGGGAGTAGACAACGTTGGATCAAAGCTTTAGAGGACCCACAGTTCTCTGCTGGATCTAGATTCCCTAGGATAAGTAATTTGCCCATGGAAGCCTAATTTGCTCTAAGGGTTCCCACTACTTGCTTTAGTTTGGCAGTATAAGTAAAACAGGACAGTTTTAAGACTTCCTAGTTATTGAGCAAACCATGCACACTTCCAAATAACCACTTCTGAGAGCCTCCTGTTTAAATGAATGTATAAATGCTCAGGCTAATTAATGTCTTGATGAATAATCTTGAAGGATAAGGGAGTAAAACTTCCTAAGGTAAAACTACAAAACACTTTTGGGTTTGGACCCTCTCAAAGATGACTGACTGGGGGAAACACACACTATGGGTTTTTTTTTTAATCGAAAAAGACTGGCATTTTTCTAAAACTCTGATTTTCCCCCTCATATATTATGAAATTCAGTACCATAGAATTCATTTCAAATCAGAGCCATTTAATTAAGCCATGGCCCAAATAAATAGATATTTAATAAATAATTTCTTATCTATTTCATTTTTATATCTAAAGTTAATATTATCATGTAATTCATTAAAAATTAGCATTCAAAATCCTTTTTATCTTTGGTACTGAAATTATCCTTCAAGTGTAACTCTTGAACTTTAAGACAAAATTATAATTATGTAAACTGCTGATCTACTTGAGGTCATCCTTAGTTCCCAAACTCTTTGAACTGCTATGAATTTACTTTCAGAGGACAGCGCTCTTCTGTACTAGTTAGAGCAACCCGTGATAAAAATGACTTTTCCTACCTATTTTTAAAACGTGGTAGGTAGCCCTGGGAGAGCTGAAGCTTCAACATTAGGGCTTAAAAAAAAAAAAAAAAAATCATTGCATGGCAAGGTTCTTCCTCCCCACTGCAGACGGAGTCAGATGGCCCAGGAAACACAGCAGCAGACAGACTCTCCCACAGTCCTAACAGAGCTTCTCTCTCTGTTAGAGCTGCATGGTTTAGAACACGTTTCTTTTTTAGGGAGCTAAACACATTATTCAACGTAAGTTATGGCAAGTAGTATGGGGTGGTCACGTTATAAAAGAAAGATGTTGGAAGTTCCCATGTAGTCTAAATACTCTTCCCAATCAAGGAAGACAAACATTTCTTTTCTTTTCTGAGCTAACATACAGCATGATTTTGGTTTCTGGACGAAGACAAAAATTTCTGCTGGACCAGCTGAAGGGTGTGGCAACAGCTGAGCCACAGGTTATGTAGCTCACTTGGCCCAACACCATCGCATTATGTCATTCATAATGATTTCAAAATGAGTTCACTATTTCAGATTTCTTACATGATTTCAGATTTTCATAAATATTTTATATTACACTATTTCTACTTTACATGATTTCAAAATGTGTTCACTACTTCAGATTTCTTAAATGATTTCAGATTTTCATAAATACTTTATATTATACTATTTCTACTTTACATGATTTCAAAATGTGTTCACTATTTCAGGTTTCTTACATGATTTCAAATTTTTTTTTTTAAAGATTTTATTTATTTATTTGACAGAGAGATCACAAGCAGGCAGAGAGGCAGGCAGAGAGGAGGAAGCAGGCTCCCCTAGAGAGCAGAGAGCCCAATGTGGGGCTCGATCCCAGGACTCTGAGATCATGACCTGAGCCGAAGGCAGCGGCTTAACCCACTGAGCCACCCAGGCGCCCCTGATTTCAAATTTTCATAAATACTTTATATTACACTACTTCTACTTTACATTTGCATAAAATGCCATCACACTATATACATTAAAACAGAAGCATTTTCTTGGCTTACCGTTAAGAAATTATTTCTTAGATGTAAATATTTAATAAGTTCTAATTATTTCAGGTACAGGCTGTATTTAGTTCCAATTGCTAACAGCCTTCAGGAACCCACTTGTTATTCAACCTTTACCATTTAAGAACCTACTTTTTGTAGGTAGATCATTTTGTAAACAGTAGGCTTACGAAACTGTGCCTAAGATGTAAAAATCGATATTTCTTCAGAAAGTTTCTTTTTTCGTCCCAGTAAGAACTCCCCGATAGAAGGGGAGAAGTGCTAAATCCCAAACATCTCCATATATTTAAATATTACATCTAAGGCTGTCCCATATTGGGCATTCCCTTCACATTATGATTATCTATTATCTATAAACAACTTTAATAATTTAGCTTTACAACGGAATCACTCTGTAAGAAGCATATATGGAAAATATGAGAATGCTCATTTATTTAAAACCCTACACCTAAAAAGTTATCTGAACATATGTATAAGCTGATGGACGTATAAAACAATTTTTATTCTGAGAAAACAGAGATAGAGAACACTGATCTAAAGTTACTCAACATTGTGAGCATGTTCTATTTCTCATGTTTCTCATTAAACGAATGTTCCTTTCTTTTCAATTCAGTGGTACTGGGTCAACATGAGAGATTGAAATTCTGATTATTCTCCTTACAGTATAATGAAAACCGGGGAGGGTCTCCTGGTGGTACAGTGATGTACCGTGGTGGTTAGGACAACACCTGCCAGGCTCGTTGGGCTCAACAGCTTTCAGGATGGGTGACCCTGGAGAAGTCATGTTACCTCCTACTCCTCCCCCTCAGTTTCCTTGTTTCAAAATGGGTGTGATAACTGTTCCTACCTTCTGGGAGTTGTAATGGTTAATAAGTGTAAAGAACCGAACACATGTCATGTACACGGTAAGAATTCAAACACTGGCTGTTAACTTTTCTGCCACCAAGAAGTGACAAGAGCAGTGAAGGCTTTAAATTGGATCCATCTGGCAGCAGGTGTGGGTGGGAAGGAAGTCAATTATAATCCCAGTGACTATGAAAATAAGTTTTTCCAGGTCTATGTGGATTTTATAATTTCTTTGGGGACCACAGAACCTGGCTATGCTTTGTTCATATGGGTAGAAACTAGAAACATTTGTAACTCATTAAATTGCTTTTCTTTAAAGTAAATCATCCCTGTGAAGGTGTAACAAGCAACCTAAATTCTGTAAGCTCAGAACATACAGAACTGGGGCAGGTAACCGTTTACTCAAACCAGTTCCTAAAAAAAAAAGTAAAGTGAAATAAAACTTAAAAAATTTCCCCAGTAGCCTTTCCCCTCCTTACCTAATTGAAACACTTAAAGAAGTAGGCTTCTCTATTCTTCCCCCAAGCAAATCAGAGAAGTTATGAAAGAGGCCACAGACCTTTGCTTTGAGGAAGGTAGGTACTGACAACGGTTAGTAAGAGTAACACATCTCGAGAGCATACTATGCATCGGGTCTGTGCCACACTGAATCCCTCAGAACTATTCCCTTCCTTACTTTACAAGTTAAAAAAACAAAAACAAAAACAAAAACCACACACATGTAGACAGAGAATCTTAGCTAGCAAAAGCAACTTTCCACTATTACACAACTAGCAGGGGGTAGAGGTGGGATTTCAACCCAAACAATCTGCCTCCAGGGCTCATTCCCTTATTCCTGTAATCAGCAGGTGCTGAACTTGGGTTGCGTGCCTGGTACTGTGCCAGGACCTGGCGGGGGTGGGGTGCTTGGTGGAGAAGGGACGGTGGCAGTGGGTTAAGACCCCATGTTGTTCACCACTGCATGCACTGGGTCCCACTAGGATGGGTCTGAACATTTACCATTATATTCAGTTAGTCACATCATTAAAATGACTCTATAGCTGGCTGTTATGATACGATGGTATTCATATGTCAGCAAAGAAGTTTCCTGAGATAAAAACTCTGTGACTGGAATCCTGTTGGCAGAGTAGACATCAATCAGGAGACACTGGCTTGGGGCTTATTTAATTGTGTACCTTCTCCTGCTAACTCCATGTCTCCCTTCTGCAACTGGCAGGCACAGCCCCCTCTGAGACCAAGTCACATGGGGGCTTTGGCTGCCCCCCGTGTTTCTGCGGAGCGTCTGGGGCTCCCCAGCTCTCCTCGTTTGAACCCCTGACCACATGCAGCCTGCTCCTGACATCCACTCCTGAGGTCTGTGGGGATGTATTTAGGCCTGCCCCTATGCCGAAACAGCCTTCCTCTGGTAGAAGAGTGACACATACATTAAAATACAGAAAGAACAATAAGTAGACTATAAAAGCCACACCAGACTATAAAAACTTTGTACCATCAGAGGCCAAATAACTGGAGATGAAGTACTACCCAGAGACGGAACGTCCTGAGGGGGTGCTCTGATGCCGAGTGCGAGTTCACCCACGTGGGGGTAAATTCGTGATGGATTTGCAAAGCTTTCACTGGAATAAAAACTGTCAACCACTATGGTGAGTGCTATGAAATGTGTAAGCCAGATGACATGTACATCACCTGATGGGTACAGACCTGTACCCCTGGGGCAAATAATACATTATATGTTAATTAAAAAAAATTGTTAACCAATTCTCCAATTTAGTGTGCGAGGAGTCAGTAACACTACCTTTAAGATTCCTCAGTTAATCTCACATAAAGGGCACTATCACTGTAAATATTCTTTTAAAATGCCAATTATAAATTTTTCTCCAGCCTTCAAATCCAGTTTTAATGAGGACAGTGAGTGGAGACAAAAGAGAAACGCATTCATAAAGCTGTCTTGGAATAGACAGGAGATATGCTTTCTATTCTTACTGCTTATTTGTCTGAGAACTATATTCTAAGGACAAAAGACAAGCAAAAGAAGAAGTAGGGCAAACATCCTAACAACTCCAAGTTTTGTACTTTGGAAGGTAATGAACCACTGCACTAATCCTAGCATTTATTCACATAAGGGAGCTGAAGGGAGCTCTGAGTCTACCCACTAGCAGCCAGTAAAATAAACTAGCTCTCCTGCCTGTCCACAGAGCACAGGTAGACTTCAGGTATCCAGAGTATGTTAGCATAGTCCATGTTTAAGATAAAATGTAGCAAATATAATTATGGATAGGAAGTTATGGTGTGGAAAGGAGAGCTTGGGATCCACGGATCTGACATGCAGCTGGGTGAGAAGAGAAAGGACGTCCGAATTTACCTGACAGTTGGGCAGTCTTGCCTCCCGGCTAGTTGTGAGCACTGTGGCGGTACGGAGGCAGCAGGCTGCTGACAATCTACAAGAAACTGATAAATTAGACATGTATACAAAGAGATGACGGAGCATCGTGTTAGTAACAGTAACGAAAGCAGTTGCCTGAGAGATTTAGTGAGGAATGTGCATTCATACAGAAACATCTGACATTTTATTTCCCCCTGAATAAGGTCAATAGAAAAGATGTTTTTCTTAATTAAATACAGGATTTAAAAATTAGTGATGCAAAATTGGTAGTGAGCTTTCTCAAGAACATTAGAATATATGTGGCCATTCACATTTAGTATCTGGATACATCTAAAACTATAGGGTCTATTAATATAACAAAAGATCTTCAAGTTCTGAACTTGAACACGATGGCAGTTACATGCTTAGCACCTAAATCTGCTTTTCCAAAATGGAATACATTCAGATAACTGCCTTTACTGTCAGGACACATGGGCATATTGTCAATCCCATAGGTACACTGAAAAAAGGAAGCATGCAATACAATGTTTTCCATGATTAAGGAGATATTAGAGAAAGAAATCACCTTTACAGTTTTCTGAAAATTTTACCAATCAAAAGCAAGATTTGTTAGCAGAAATATTAGAATGTTTATTATATAGTAAATTGTTATTAACTTGGACTGATGGAGAAAGCTAACCTGAATGGGAAGTCCACTTTTGTTATATTTTAAAGTCATATAATGTAACTCACACTAGATTAACAAAATGCTAGCTATTAAAACTCCATGTTTTAGCTAATCAGTTATGTTAATCATCTACTGCAAGAAAGACCATGTGCTGAGTGTTCTACACTAATGAAAGAATATCTGTTTATTGGTACCAGGCTGACTGTACTGGAGTCACCTGAGAAGCTGGTTAGAAATGCATGTTATACTTCTGCAAAAAGATTTTGCAAAAAAGTTAAAATTGGAGTTAGACTTGAAAATTCAATTAGTTTAAAGTAACTGCAGGATGTCCTCTCACTAAGTGTTCAGATGAAGTATTTCCTTGGCAAATTGCTTTCTTTATTTGTTATGTAGGTAATATTGAAGCCAAATTATCATAAAAACTCGGATTTACAAGCTTGAATTATTAAAGCTCTACTGAAATTTACATTCACAGGCCTGTATCTAAGTACCACTTGTTCTAAAGCCAGCCTATTTTCATTACAGCAAAATCTGCCTATATAATTCCAGAATACCAAAATTCATGCAAACTGCTGATGCTTTTGCTTACAACACTGAAAACACACTAAAGCTGTCTGTGATGTAAAGTACACAGGCTTGATTTGCGTTCATTCACGAGAACATCCTTACTGAAGGGAGCCTTTCACAGGCGGTCTTTGTTGCAGAGTAGCTTATTAATTATCACTTATTAATAGGAATGAGATCTGCTTCTGATTGGTAGCTGGTCTATAGATTATCACACTCAGTAAAAGTCCTTCAAATGTAACAATTCCATTTTCTCCACTTTGGGGAAATTTTTTTTTTCTTCTCCTTTAACTCCTTGTCTTCTCATTTTGCATCTTGATTAGCTCAAAGATTCCCTTTTGTAGAAACTCAGAGTCTTAAAGGATGAATTCCTTTATGCTCCTTTTATCTTTTCCAACAGATTTCCTATCTGAGTTATTATTTAGGGATGTCAAGGACTTTGAGGTGGTCAGCAGACATGCAGTTTTAAGTTAACCAGGAGAGTGCTGCCCTCCTATGGTGTATTTGGGTAAATACAACGGATATAAATGAAAATGAACTTTTGGAGAACCACTCTGGAATTTGGCCTCAGGTCTTCCATTTCCAGGCAGGTAAAAACTAAGCACTCCTATAGCAAAATTTTGGCCTCTGTGGAATGACAGGCCTTAGAATTAGAGTAATTTGAGTAGGGGGTTTAAATTTGTTTCCATATTTCGCTTACATTAGAAATGGGTTTTTTTGCTAATGCAATTATAGATTATTATTTATTCAAAATATGCTCTGTGATGAAATTTAGAGAGCAGGTGAGCAGAGGCACAGTGCACTCTCTTAACAAAATGTCAACGAGTGGTGGATATTCCTGACATTTGTAGTGAATATCGAATTTTTCTCCTTTAGAAGTAATATCACATGTTACAATACCTCAACAGGCCATACCGCCCTGAACACGGCCGATCTCGTTTGATCTCAGAAGCTAAGCGGGGTCAGGCCTGGTTAGTACTTGGATGGGAGAAGTAACATCACCTCTGGGCTAATTATTATTATTATTATTATTTTGTACTTGTTATCTACATTTACTTAGCTAAGTGTTATTTTTAAAGGATAAAAAGCAAATTCTACAGGTAAGATGGTGACAGATGAAAAAAGTGAAATTTGAAAAATGGACGTATTGCTCTGACTCAACCATCTTCTAAATCTCTCTTCTCAGGTTAACAGCCCTCCAGTTATATACCCATCTAACCCAGCCAAGCAGTGGATGTGTGACAGCATGGACTTTGTAAAATGAAAGGAGTGAATTGGGAGATTGGGAAAATCCTTCCTAGTTCCGAGATGCTATGGGTTCTACATAGTCTCACCTGCTCTTTCTAGGATCTACGCCAGGGGTAGACTCACTCCTGAAGGAGCGAGGCCTCATCTCATTACGTTTGAGGGCATAAAAGATGAAAATTATTTGACCCAAACAGGATGCATTAAAGAACGCCAGCAGCCACTGTTGTCCTGTGGGCCACCAGAACACAACCATTCAACAATCAAGTTACTAAACTCCTAGTACGTGTTCAAAACTGTTAGGTACTGGGGACAAAGGGAAAACAGAGAAGATATGGTCCCTGGCCATTTGGGTAAGACAATCATATTCAACGAGCAGTTACAATAAAGTGTCATGATGATGATGATGGTGACGATGATGATGGTGAGGATGATGACGGCACCTAGCACTTATTTATTGCCCACTGTGTGCCAGGCACTGTGGAGGCACTTAACCTGCATGCTCTCCTATAACCCTGTTTTATGAGTCGCAGTTGATGGATGAGGAAAGGGGGATTTGGGTTAAGTAGCTAGCCAAAGCCCACTAAGAGATGGATCTGGATTTAAATCCAGGATTGCAGGATCCAAAGGCTAGACAGAATTTACAGACATATCACTGCATTGCTTTCCATGATAGGGAAGTGTAGGGGCCTCAGAGCAGAAAAACTTAACTAAATCTAAATGGTCAGGAAATGCTTCCTGGAAGGTTGTAACATCCAGGCTAATGCCTTAAAAAAATTTAGCCAGAGAACTTCTTAGCAACTATAAATGGCTTATAGTCTCTACTAATAGCAATAAAATATTTCATCATAAAATTAAAGTCTTTTGAAATGCTCAGAACTGAATTAGATCATTCATAAGGTTACAGGACTGTACATTCATAAGGTTACAGGACTGAGAAATGTCAGAGCATACTCAAGAGATTTTTAGTGCCTCAAGGGCAGATGAATAAGGCATATGACAGCTTAAAGCATCTATAGGTCTGTAGTGACAGACATAGGAAGAATACCCATGTATGACATTCCTCCATAAACAAAAGCCAACTAGAAAGGAAGGTTAAAAAAAATGAAGGAGAAAGAAGGAAGGAAATTATTTGCTGAACCATCATGATGTAATTTCTCTTAGGAACTTAATGTTAGTTACCTCTTTTTTAAGTCTTAGCAACACTCCAGGGGCATTATTTTCACTATTCCTACCACAAACAAAAAAATATTTCTGATCTATGGGACTATATCAAGATCTCATATACCCCGAGGCATTTTATTCCTTTAACACCTTTCAGGGCCCAGAAGCAAATACAGAGCTGGTGTCATAGGAGGGGCTCCCCAAACATTTGCTGATTAAATTAATAAAACACGATCACCATATATATTAACTCACCCACAGTCACACTGCTAGGAAGTGGCAGAACAAGGATTTAAAATCAGACTTTTCTGATGCTGAGGCCTATTTTCTACTCTTTACTCTGGCTGGCACTCAAGTTGACACCAACCACCTCTAGAAAATGTTAGGGTCGGGGCGCCTGGGTGGCTCAGTGGTTAAAGCCTCTGCCTTCAGCTCAGGTCATGATCTCAGGGTCCTGGGATCGAGTCCCGCATCGGGCTCTCTGCTCAGCAGGGAGCCTGCCTCCTCCTCCTGTCTCTCTCTGCCTGCCTCTCTGCCTACTTGTGATCTGTCAAATTAAAAAAAAAAAAAACTTAAAAAAAAAAAAAGAAAATGTTAGGGTCATAGTCAAAGAAACATAAGTAAGAACTTCAGACAGTTGAGAGAGTAATTTGAACGTACCCAATTACTTCAAAAACACAAAGCAAGGTAAAGGGTGCAAGAATGGGGATATTATTCAATGTCTGTAAGTTAATGAATGAGGAGAGAAATTCTGGTCATAGGGTTTTTGCCTCAGGCTTCTACTACTTTAAACTCCCTATGGTAATTTAGAAAATTAACCAATTTTCTAAAAGTCAATGTCTTAGAAAGTCCCATGAGCCCACTGGGAGGGAGAGCCCCATGTGGAAGGAGGCAGGGAACCCCTCTGTGTTTGGGTTCCACACCGGGCTCAGCTGGCAGTGCTGAGAGGTGGGTGAGGACCCTATGGGTGAAAGCTGATCCGTAGAGACCATACCCAACAATCGTGCGGCTGCATGGACAGCTTCCCTGGTACCCAGATGCTCTGTGGGAAGTGGAACAGCAGCTCTCTGTGGCAAACATTCTCCTACAGAATGGCCAGCACTACAGCCCCTGGTTTTCCAGAACGGAGAACTAATGCATCCCTACCGCTTCATGAGCACCCGTACTCCCTCATGACCACAAACTCCCCAGGTGCTGCACACTTTTTATGAAAACTCTCTCTGTCCCTTGAGTTTTCCTCAGGCCAAATAGGGTAAGTTCTTCCTCACAGGACACATTTTCAACTTCGCTCACTCTCCTCCTTGCTCTTTGACCATGTTCCAGTGTGTGCAACAGTCTTCTAAAAATGAGGTGTTCTGAAAGGAAATCATGTGTGATTAGATGTGATTGGTGGAGTGAAGAGGCGGGCTTGCCTC